TTGGCCTCAGTGACTTCACCCAGACCGCCTCTCATGCGTGAGATGCCCTCTGTCCCCCTCTTTATGATGACCTGGGTAATTCCTACTCAGGCTTCAGGCTATAGCTTAAATACTGTTTTGTCAGAGAGCCTCCCCTTCATTCACTTCCCAATTAAAATTAAGGTGCCATCTGTTTATACTCTCTTTAGACCCTGTATTTGCTTTATCCCATATTTTTAGTCATAGCTAGATCTCAATTTGTAATTATATATTTTATAATTGCTTGCTTCATATTTACTACTCTCACTAAATGTCAGCTCTGTGAAGACATGGATGGGATCATCAGAAAATAGCTTTAAAGTTGGACCCAGGGAGGCTTCCAGGCATCACTGGGCCGGTTCCCATCAGAGCTAAAGGGAAACTTACGCTTGCCTGCGGCCTGTTGCTCCTGCATAGGAGGTGGGTACCTTCAAACTCCTTGCAGCATGATCGTCCTGTATCTCAACTTTAAAATGGAACAGTCCTTTCACAAAAGGAAAAGTGATGGTGTATACATTACAAATTTGAAGAGGACCTGGAAGAAGCTCCTGCTGGCTGCTTGTGCCATCTGGTTATATCAGTGTCATTCTGTCCAGGAATAAGGGCCATGAGCAGGGCTGAGGTCACTGCTGCTGCTGCTGGAGCCTGTCCTCTCCCTGGCCGCTTGGCTGCTGCTTCACTAAGCCCATCCAGACAGCTTAACTACAGCCAGGACACCCAGTGGTGACGGATCCCAGGCCTGCCCTCCAGGCTGTCACCGGGATGTGATGTCACCTGCCTGCCCTGCTCCATGTGCAACAGACTCTCCTCTGTGGTCTGTGACTTGCCGTTCCCTGCATACACTGAGGGCGCACACTCAGCCCGCCTGTACGGTGGGCTGGCCTGGGGAGCTGTGCGCACGCACGCACAGCACCATCTCCCATAACCCACCAGGGAAGGCCACACCTGGTCTCTGCTTTTAGACAGAAACACTAAGAGATGGAAAAGCAAAAGCAGCTGCTCATGAAAAGGCTGTGACCAAGGAAGGATTTCAGGGTAACTGCACAGCACTAGCTCCCAAGTTCATTGCTACCACACCCTAAGGTTAGGTCTAAAGGGGTGCAGGTGCCCTGGGGTCCCACCCAGTGGTTCCTAGTGAAGATGGAGTGCTCAGCCTGCCACTGAGACAGGCTGCAGCTCCTACAGCTGGGATCACCAAGGGAGTTGAAACCACCCATGGCCATAGGTTGTTGCCAAAGACCCTAAAACAGAAAATGGAAATAAAGCTGATGAACTGTAAACAGCTTCTTAAAAAAAAGAAAAAGAAAAGAATAAAGTTGGGAAGGGTCAATTTGCATTGGTCTTTTGCATCATAGTAAGGGATTTGCATATTACCTTGGAGGCAATGGAGAGCTATTGAAAAAAAAATCAAGCAATGTGGTGTCTTGCTCAGAATTTGATTCAGCAGATTATGGGTGAAATAGAGTAGGACCAGAGGCAAGGAGACTGGGTAAGACTTATGAAAATGATGCAGTGAAGGTTACTAAAGGGCTGATGTGGGCATAGAAGGACAAAACAATATCCATAATTAATGAATTGGAATTAGGTGTGAATCAACAGTTGGAGGCAGGCTCTGAAGTGGAGATTGGGGTGCCTCATGTTGGTTGTGGATGCTCATAGGATCAACACCTGAAGAAAGTGAAGGACTAGGGTTAGATTTAAGCCGAACTGATAACAGCCTTGGTTAACCCCTCAGTGAGCTCCAGAGCTGGGATGACACTTCAGATCTAACTCCTACTTGGAGCTGCTGGATTGTACTTTCACTCTCCGTTATCAATCAGGGTTCCATTGGCTATAAATTGCCCCCACGAATGGGGAATGACTGACAGCTGAGACCTTTCTGGTGGTAACACCCAACAACTGGAAGGGGTATCTGGCTCCCATGGGCTAAAGAACTATGAAAAAAAAAAAAAAAAAACAAAACAAGGTTGCCCAGGGTGGTAAACAGAAAACGACCTGGGCTGAAGATCACAGACTCAGAATTTATGAGCTAACAAGATGTAGTAGATCCTATGGCCATAGATGAGACTTCACAGAGAGCACAAGATATGTGAGCAGAGTATCAAGGTAGATATGGAAGCCGGGAACAAATCAAAGACAAAACATACACCAGTGGGCCTCCCCGGTGGCACAGCGGTTGAGCGCTGGGTTGCAAAGCTGCCCGCGGCCTCTGCAGCGCCGGTTCGATCCCTGGCTGCTCCCCGGCCACCAGAGGAGGGTCCCGCATGGCACGCAGACCTCTCCTGCCGCCCGCTGCTCCCCTCAGCAGTGTATTTCGGTCCTTCTGCCTGCTCTGCTCCCCGCTCAGGCTCTGGTGAATTCTCTCACCCTCCCGCACTTCTGACTGTAACCAGTGCCTGTATGAATAAATAAATCTTAAAAAAAAAAACAAAAAAACACCAGTAAAGACACCTGTCAAAAGACAAGACAGAGGTAGAAAAGTAATAAGCAGGAGAAAATAACAAAGGCCAAGAGACAGAGATGGAGGATGGGAGGTATGAGAGTGAACCAAAAGGTGTATGTGAATAAATAGCAGGGATATGGGTTTGGAAATATATGCCAGAGAACTGAGTACATTCATATTGTAAAGACATCTCAGAGAGAAGAGGAGGGTGTGGATATAATAGAGGGAGGAAATAATCAATGGGAACAGAGCTTCTAAAGAGGGAGGGGACAATAAGATTCTCAGAAAAGTTGGAGAGAAAAATAGTATCACCCCTAAATCTAAAGAAGAGAAAATAAAAATGGTGTTGACATTTGATTTTGTCTGCAAGTAGCAAAAACAAAAGCTCTCACGTTATTTATCTTGTTTAAAGTAATCTTGTATTCAGGATGTACCACCGTATTTGAAGTAAACATGTTCTACTTGTGTTATCTGTAATACAGACAAGATGTCTAGCTGATGGAAAATCAGCAGGTTGGGAAAGAGCAAGTTGGAAACTTCAAGGAGTAAATACAGATAAAATTGAAATGAGATGGAATGAAGAAGAGGAAACAATGCAGAAGAGGACATGTAAGTTACAAGTCAGAGTAATGTCAGCCAATCACAGCAGGGTGGGAATGGTTAAATTCCTGCCTCAGTAACCTAGAACAAAGGACCCAGAAAACCTTTCGGCTTAAGTTGGTGTTAGGAAACTGAACTACACACAAGTCATCTGTTTCCTCAATGATTCACATTCCTTGGAGAGGGAGTTCTCATTCAGTCTAGGAGATTACTAAGAAAACAGCAACCAAGACAGATGATAGAGAGGAAGGTGATAGATGTGTAGATCGATTATGGATAGACAGACAGACAAACAGAGCAACCACCCATCTTGAAAAATCAATGTCTCCATATTTCCATATTTCCTACTTCATTTTACTTCAATTAATGGGCGATTTGATCTAGGTAGTATTGGATCCCTGTTAAGTCTTGATTTGTGGTTCACTGAAAAGGAGAACCTTTTGCAAACTCTAGTATTTCCCACCTGGCGTATGCTTGATGTACTTGTGTTTGAGTAGTTTTCATTCTGGAAATGGATTCCCTGAAGAAGGATGTGAAAGAAAAAGGGAAAAATCCACACTTCCAAAGGCGTCTCTTCTGCCCTGTCTCTGGATGATGGTAGGAAAGTGGGCGTCAAGGATGACAACGACTCTTGAACTCTGAAACAGTCTCAGCTGAGGTTTGCTTGCCTTGAAAAGTATTTGAAAAACTACCGAAGAGGTAGCACTAAATCTCAGAGTGGTATGAAATAAATCTCTCATCGGTATGAAAGTTTTGAAAAGCATCTTTCTTACCTGTTTTTGCGTGTAGACATAGGTTAAGCATAATCAGCTAGAGACCTTGATTTATTCCAGGCTCAGTGACAGCATAACTAGTCTAGCCGAGCAGTCCTAAGCCCTCACCTTCTGTATCTTCCAAATGAGGAATTTAATCCTGTTGATTTTGATGATACCTTCCATCTCTCAAAGGTTTTCTTCTAGCTGACTTTAAGTAATGGCATAGCTAATCCATAAGGTCACTTTCATAATGTTCCATAAAAATGGGATGAACATGCAATTTTGGCTTTGATAAATGTGATATATTTCAAGCTTCTATATTGAGTTGGCATCAAAGGAAAGCTTATACACTAAATTTTATTTCACCAAAAAACAAAGGTGATACTTCACAGATCATAGAATAATTACCAGTGAATTCCAATCAGTTATAGTGGATTTATTTAATTTATTCTTCCTTTCTAGAGTGGAAGAATACACTGAAAATTCTGGCAAATTCTTATTTAACAACCCTCCGCATTTTGTTTTTTAAAATATCAGCAGCTTCAGTAGAAGTCTTGGAGCAAATACTTACACATTACTCTCTAACAGGAAGTCCTTATTAAAACCAGAAATAATAAACTATATTAAACAAAAATGATTTATAGTAGAAGAAATCAGTAGATCCTCTAAAAGTCAACCTACTTCTCAATTGCTCTCCAAAGAACTGGCAAGGCTGTGGCGTTGTCTTCAGTTAGGGATTAACACATATATTTATGCTTTTATATCAGAGTGATTTTTTTTGACAGGAAGTTTTCAGCTCTATAATTAGCAAGCCACAATGGAAGCTTTGACATCTAATTACAACATTGCTAAGACAATAATCAGATGAGAAATAACTGAAGTTAAATGCAGTGTTTCTTGACACACCTGTGGCTACCTTCTTATTGGCTGGGATAAATTATATGTGACTAGTAAATAATCCATAGAGAAATGAATGCACAGGTACAAAGGAGGAGGCATTTCCATCAGGTCCTCCTAGTGAGGCCACCTTCAGTCTCTGCTGCTGCTGCTTCAGACTAAAACATTATGGGCAGGGACCGTGACAAACACCCCAAGAGACGGCTGTAGACTCCCAGAGGCCTCCGCATCCTGGATCCTGAGCTGCTTCTCTCATCGCCCATTGGATCGGTCTGGGGGCAGCTGCGATGGCCTTCTACCCTCTGCAAATTGCTGGTCTGGTGCTCGGGTTTCTCGGCCTGGTGGGGACTATGGCCACCACTCTTCTGCCTCAGTGGAGAGTATCAGCTTTTGTTGGCAGCAACATTATTGTTTTCGAAAGGCTCTGGGAAGGGCTTTGGATGAACTGCATCCGCCAAGCCAAGGTCAGGCTGCAATGCAAGTTCTACGGTTCTCTGCTGGCTCTGCCACCGGTGCTGGAGGCAGCCCGGGCGCTCATGTGCGTGGCTGTGGCTCTCTCCCTGATCGCGCTCATCATTGGCATCTGTGGCATGAAGCAGATCCAGTGCACGGGCTCCAGCGACAGGGCCAAAGCCTACCTTTTGGGCACGTCGGGGGTCCTGTTCATCGTGACGGGCATCTTGGTTCTGATCCCCGTGTGCTGGACAGCCAATATCATCATTCGGGACTTCTACAACCCAGCCATCCACGTAGGGCAGAAGAGAGAACTAGGAGCAGCACTTTTCCTGGGCTGGGCGAGCGCTGGAGTGGTTTTCATCGCGGGGGGGCTGCTCTGTGGGTATTGCTGTTGCAACAGAAAGAAGCCGAGACTCGGATATCCCGGCCTTGGATACTCCGTGCGGCCCCCAGTGAAGCCAAGAAACGTGCCAGTGCTCAGTAAGCCCACCACTAGTTATGTCTGATGCCTGCTTGGGGCTCCGACCACAGGCCACAGCGTTTTATAAAGTCCTGCCAGAAGATGTAATTACATCAGGCAGCACTTGCTTTCTGACAGCATTTAAATTGAGATGGAAAGTAAAATGGACAAAGGGATCGTAGCTTTTCTCCCAAGATAGGGATGCAAATGATTTGGCTTTGGGCTTTGTTTCCTCATGGATATTAAATGCTTTTACTATGCAGAACTCAAATCATCCCTATTCCAAAATGTGTAATCTAAAATCAAGTCTATCCACAGGTAATATCTTACGATGATAGACTACTCTTTTTTGACAATCATATATATTTTACTAAGAAATATGAATTATATTGCAATTGATAATCCACAGCAATAAAATACATTCAAAGATGTAATCTGTCATTGTTTCCACCAAGGAATTTCTTATGCTAATATAATAATAACCAAAAGGATGTCTTCTTTTTAAAAACAATTAGACTGAAGACCAGTAATCATCAAATAGGGATTCTTAATTGAATTTTATGAAAATGTGGAAATGTTCATCTATGAGAAAGTCTGTTATTTTTTCAGGAAATTCAAACAACCTACAAATTAAACAGTTCTAGGGAAAAGGGAGATTTTATTTCTCTGAAGACATTTAAGAAGATGGATTTTAAAGTGTAATTATCATTAAACTTGCTTAAATTATATATTCAAGACAAGTAATTTATAAATGAAAATATGCATTTATAGCCCATCTTTTGTACCTACAAGCAAACAGAAATATCATCTTGATAAACACATCAAGAGAAGGCTATGAAGATCCAGTTCTCATTAAGAGGAAATACCGTCCAGATTAGAACACTGAGGTTTGGGTGTTGGAGGGAATGGTTTCTGTTCCTTGTTTTATTCTTTAGTCATTGCGCAGGCCGATGCACGCAAAGTAAAGTGAAGAATTAAGGTAATGATTCAGGCAATTAGTCAGGCTAAATAAGTACCTCCTTTTTTTATTCTGTAGTAAACAAACAGTTATGGCTAAGGCATTTATTTTGCTTGAATTTCATGCATTATTTTCTCGATTCTTCCCTTCTCTTCCCATGGAGACATGCCAGTGTCGGGATAAATGTGTGTTGGGGGGGTGGGCAGAATGTATAGGGGTGACTACTCCTAGGGGTTGCTTCTGAATATCTCCAAGGTCTTGTGAACCAACCCATATTTATATATTCAATTTTAACTCTTCAAATACTGTTTATTTTGTAATAAAACGTATTTCACTTACTATGTATAATTACAATAAACACATTAAATTTATCTACTGAATATTTTTTCATATCCATTCTTATAATGAAATATCAAAATAAAATAGTAGCATAGTTTCAATGACGGTAATGTATTTAACTATGAAGTCAAGTTAAGAATGAGTTTCTGTCCTCGAAAGATCATCTAATAAATCTCAATTGTTAAATAAGAGATAACTCAAGACTAGACACTGATGACAAATCTTAACTCTATTCAACAAACCACCAGCAGGGCTTTAGTAAGGCAAAATAAATGCTGAATTTAAAAAAAAAGTAATAATGATAAAGTCCATAAAATGTATATATTGAAATAACAGCATTCACAAGATAATTTTGATAGAATTTTTTTCTAAATTATTTTCTTTTTCAGACTTAATTTGTACAGTCCTATATATTGGATGTGTTGGGGAAAAAAAAGCCATTTATTTTAAAAAGGCAAATAAATGACATATCAAGAAACATGCTTAAAATTTGTCATGGAATTGTTTATTTTACACTTTGGCTCACTAGAGTGATTATTTAGCCTTGCAGGATGGGTTTCTGAGTCAAAATCAGGCATGTTACCAAGGGTATCAAAGAGTAAGACAGTGTCACACTAGAGTCACAAAATTATTGGAGGTCACATTTGCTACTATATATGGGCAGCATTTCAGAAACTAAGAATTTTTGGCTCTTTCATTAATCAAGATATACTTTGGAAAATTATTATTAATTAAATTTAATTAAATTAAAGGTGGTTAAATAATTCAATTAAATGCATGCTAATAACTCTTTACATATGCCAAAAATATTTTGCTATATTTAAAAACATTTTTGGGGGGCTTATGTGCTCCTCACAACAACATAGAATGCAGACAAGGTAGATGTCATTATCAACTCATTGTGACTAAGATAACTAAAACTTGCATGGTTATAGATGTGGGTAAAGTCACAGAGTGAACATGCAGAAATGGAGAAGAGAAATACTACTAAGTAGAGGAATAAATATTTGAGGAATGATCAAAAACGACACCCAACTCATATCTTCCTTTGAGATTTTAGCTATATGGATCTCCTTCCACAGGAAAGAGTTTATTAGTTTAATTCCTTTAAAACACAAACAAATCTGGAGTCTCCCGGGTGGTGCAAGGGGTTAAGATGCAGCACTATGAAGCTATCTGCAGCCATTGTAGCATGAGTTCCATCCCCAGCCAGGGAGGTAACCCACATGGTGCAGCAGACCTCTCCCGTCTCACCCGCTGCTCCCCTCAGCAGTGTATTTCAGTAGATCTTCCTGTTCTGCTCCCCACTCTGTCTCTGGTGGGTCCTCTTACCTCCTCCCACCTCTGGCCTGTACCCCAGCTCTTAGATGCATAAATAAATAAATATTTAAAAAAATAATAAAACAAAATTCCTAGTCACTAGAAAATGATAGCATGAAAGTAACTCAGATTATGTTTTTGTCTGAACAGTGTCTATGTGACAGAAATTGGAGGCACAACTCTCCACTAGCTAGCTTGGATTCTCTGACCTGCTGGGAAATCACTGATTTTCTCCAGAGCAATGCTTATAAAGAACTCAGTATTCATTGAAGGAAAAACAGTGAAAATGTGCTAACTGGAAATATAGGACTGAATATAACTTTTCTTACAGAGGAGACCCAGAGTAGAAAAGTGATCTGTATCAGGGTGTCACCTAAGCTGGCAAGACCACAGAGGCTCTTTCCCAAGCCTGCATTCAGCAGAGGTTGGTCAGCAGGAGTCTCGGGTGAGAGACTTGGGGGGAACAGTGCACTTCTTTTCTCTTTGCCTGAGGAGACACCCTCAGATGCCTATGCTTCTCCTCAGCTTTGCCAGCAACACCCCAGCTCTGTCCCCTTAAGTCCATCCTCTGTCAAATGAACCTCACTTTGAGTTCAGCAATACTGCTTTGCTTTTTTCTCCCCCATTTTCAAGGAAGTAGAACCTGTGTTAGTGGCTTCCTGGTCCTCTGCTTGGTTTCTCAACTGTCCCTATAACTTGTATAACAAAGTTCCTCTATTAAAGTTCACTGATTTGAATCTCTAGAGGTATTTTGCTTTTCCTGGTTGGCTCTGGCAGATATGTCAACTGAAAATCAACCTGAAATGGGGGGTAGCTCAGCAGAATCCAAAATGAACAAGCCAGGTCTTAAGTATCAGATGAGTGACTTAGCTTTACACGCAGCCACAGAATGTAGATGCAACTCTGGGAAAAATAGGTACCCTCTTCCTTACTGAGGAAGATTAGGTTTGTATTCCACAGGGGCATAAAAATAATTAAATTCAAATTTTAAAGGAATTTCATTTGTTTATATCAAACCCCTTGACATTTAGGGCATATGAATGCTTGCTGGATGTATAAATATGAATTGATGAAGGAAGAAAATAATAAGCAAATCATAATAGGAAGTACCAAAAGTTCAATTCCTAGATGAGTCTAGAGAAGTTTTGAGTCTTGAGTATTTTTACTTACAAAAAAATACATATTTACATGCACTATTTAATGGATTATTTACAAGAAAATATTGCCCATTAAGGAATTGTTGCAGACAAAATAAGACACAAGGAAAATATTTTTAAGGCTGACAAAGGTATAGTGTGAATTCAGATTGCAAGTTTATAACAAAGATCAGAATTTGCTGGTAGAAATGACTAATAAAATATTCAGTAGGAAGAAATCACAAAGTAGACATGACTATGGCAAAATGACTAAAACTTTTACCACAGTAAAGACTGCCAAGTATTTCATTTTACTGGCCTCCCGGTGGGACATAGAATGTTTTCATCAGGGACACAGTGTGAGTAACAGGTTGATTCTGGACTGGACCTGGATTCCGCAGAAATCAATTTGTCAAATGGATTCTAAAGAAAATAACAGAGAGCTAGCAGTTTAAGAGACAGCTGTAACAACAAGAGGAAACAGTTGAAAACAGTGCAAGCAAACAAAAAACGGGGGGTTGAGATGGCGGGAGAGGTTACAGTGACAGAAAAGAAGGGAAAATTTCAATGGGTGTATTGGGGAGGGGAAGAGCATTCAACATGAGGAAAATTATTCTCCAGCACTGGCATTTAATCAATGATGAACATTCTCAGAAGCATTGGAGACACAATTGCTGTTTCTATCCTCTCGTGCAGAACCACAAGGTTGAAAAGAATCATGGTAAGAACTGAGTCAAGAAAGAAACCCTCTTAGGTTCACCCCTCTCTGAACTAAGATATGTGGGCTGACTCAGAACCCAACTGCATTCCATCAGTAATTCTCCAGACCCGAATCTGCTACCTCAGGAAAGACCTGCCTCTCAACTTTCCACTCACTCACCTTCTCTATCATCAGCTCTTTCCTTCTCTTCTCTTCTATCAACCTCAACTTGAGCTCAGACTTGTCTTCTCCCTGAGGTTCCATTTGCATTATCCCTTGCACCCCTTGAAAAGTCTCCCATTTGACTAGTCTTAAAAAGTTGGACTCATTAAAACTTGCAAATAGCTGTCTCAATATTTTTTTCAAATCTTTCCCAATTTATTTATTTTCCTTAAATTACTGAGAACTCTTTCTTTTGGTGCCATCTTGCTGGACTCAATTTCCTTTAGGATTTTAAAGACACTTTACTTTCTCATTGCTTTTCTAGATATCATATATGTCCACTTTTGAGAACTCATTTCATTCATTTTGTTTTAACTGTTAGTAAATGACAAATGACTTAGTAGAAAAGCACTGAACTACGATCTGAGTCG